TCCAATGTATTCCAAGTGTCCTGAGTGGGTAGCATCCAGAATTTACTCGAAACGAAGTAATTTAGAATGTTTTTAGAGCATAAACAGTAGTGTATAGGATTTCCTAAAAGCGCGCGCATGCAAGTTCACGAGCCTACGGAAACTGTGGCAGACCAAACCAGATGAAAGTGCGCTATTCTTTATGTTTTTATTTTTCAATTATGTGATCTGCTAAAGAGAAATCTTTTTTTTCTTTGGGGGGAGGACTCTGTTAAAGTAATTTTGTCACCACAAGGTCCAAAGAACGAAGATGAGAATGTGTGGGACTACTGATATTTTGAAGAAAGCTAATAAAGTCTAAGGTAGCATTAAAGGCTGCATTTAGGCTATCACCTTCAATGGCAGCATGAATGTTAAAATCACCCACTCTAATGACCTTGTCAGTATTTTAAAACTAAATCAGATAGAAACTCTGAAAACTGATCTAAAAGTAGCAGCATGCATGCTTCTGTCACAGAGGAAAGGAGAGGTTCTACGTTTCAATCTCATATAACATTAAATCCTCTAGAGGTGATCAAAGTCTGCTTCACATCCTACCCTGTGTTATCCTGACATTTTTTTTATTAATACAGGCTATAGCAGTGAAATTATTAAATTGTTTGTTTTTAACAAAAATAAAAGTTTAGTAAAACCTCATGCATATAAACCTTAAAACTTAAATCGTTATAGATTTTGAAGAACTTAGTTTTTGAAACTAGTAGGGACAATTCTGTTAGTCTCTAAAGCAACAAGGACAAGTGACTCAGTAGGCTACTTCAGACACAAGATGCCCTCCAAACATGTCACCTCCCACATGATAGAGGCTTTAACTTTAAAGAAATGCAGATACTAAGGCAGGAGAAAAGCAACAGCTGTTGCTTTTCTCACCTTTGGACTCATACTTTGGATTCCTGAGAAGATATCCTGCAGATGATCACATCAGAAGAAAATGAAAACCTTCCCCAAAGAGAAAAAAAAGGTTGAATTTAGCATCATCTTTATATCCTGTTTGCTTCATATCAAACCTAATGTCCATTGTAAAATTCTATTTTTATACATCTGTTATTTTCTGTTTTATTTCTGAAGTTTTTTTATACTTATTCATCAATCTGAAAATTTAGAATTTTAATAAGGTGAGAAGGAAATAATGCCTTATTTTATACTGTATGTGATAGAGCACCAGATGCAGTTGGGTCACCCTTGGCTTGTCTTTGGCTTGCTGAAGTGTTGCCCAGTGTTTTTACCTGTCAAAGACAAGGACACTTGCCTGAAAGTGGAGAAAAAAAAGTGCTTATATGTTCGTTCTTTCTCTCTCCCTCCCTCTCTCTCTCTTTCTTTTTCTCTCTGTGTTGCAGCAAACCAATGAGAGCCAAAGTGTATTGGTGTTTTGAAAATCTAGGATTTGAAAGAAGTGAGGAAGGTTAACCTTGGCTATTCTTCTGTGTTGCTTTTCTCTTCCGAGTCGCTTTTCTAACTCCAAGAAAATAAAGATTTCAAAGTCAGCAAATAAAATAAATTGGATCAAGAAACTAAACTTATTTCAGACCGAACATCAGAAGGCAATCCATTCATAACATGTCAAGCTAAAGAGGAAGGGTTGTATGTATGCAGGAGACCCAGGGAAAGACTCAGGACACAATGGAGAGATTATATTTCCCGGCTGGCCTGGGAGCGCCTTGGGATTTCCACAGAGGAGCTGGTCGAAGTACCTGGGGAGGGAAGTCTGGGCCTGAGCTCTTACTATGACTAGGTGTATCTACTCTTTAAATTTAAAAACTAGCCCTATCCATATTGAAAGTACATCTTTATCAGTGCAACTGTGTTCTACTTTTCATTCTATTTATGTCCTGTCTTCTCAACCCTCCAGTCATATTGCAATTGGTTTGGTAGGCTGTTATTTTTTTGTTAAGGGGAGTTTTCTTCCTGCTATTAGTTCATTCATGTTTAGTGTAAAGGATTGCTGCAACAGTCAGTGACAAAATCAATTTAAAGTCCACTGTTGCAACATGTTTATCCAGCACAGGAGAATGCAATATATAATCTATTATCTCTAATCTTAATGGAAAAGGTCTTAACTGCGTGCAGCAGTTCTGTCTTCATCACCTGCCTGCCCACTCTCCACCAGTACCAACACTCTTGGATCTTTCTCCTGGACCTCTGGGATACATTCTGCAAAGTCTGCAGAATAAAGCCCCTAAAGATCCATGCTACCTTGCCTTCATCTCTTAAGTAAGGGAACCAATTAGTCAGCATTTGTCATCAACCAATTCCTTCCTGATATCAGCAGACCAGCCAGAAAGTTGAACCTGACTTCCTGCTTCTATATTCTTGCTGTTTTTGTAAGTAAAACATTGACATTCAAAACCACAAACTAACATAACACAACATTGTTTGAGAACTAGGAACATTTTGGAATACCTGCACTTGACTTGGGATCTGTCTATATTATTTGAACTGGCTTTTTTTAAATTGTATAATACCTTTCAGATGACAGACATTGCAAATTGGCAGTATATGAAATAAAATTACTTTAAGGTTTTTAGAAGGGACATTATTGCTTTGTGAAATATTTTAGCCTACTTCATGTTGTCAGACAGGTTATAATTTCATCTGATATATGGGTAAGGCAGTAATCAATGTGTGGAAAGAAATATTAAACTATTTTTAAAATGGTTATTCACTAGAGATTATTATATTTATGTTTCCCTTGCAGAATTTAACATATCTTTATAACCCCAGCTCTACTGGATATTTTTGTTTGTAAAGCACACTCATATGTTTAAATGAGAGTATACAATTTATTGGTGATCATTGTTCTGTGAAACTGAAAAGGTGTTCTGAAAACTGCAGGCACACAATTGCTGAGCCTATTTTTTTCCTGTGTATGTATTCAGGCTTGCCAAAAAAAATCAGAGATGAGATAAGTGGATTTTAGATGCCTGTATCGGATAGCTCTGCCATACCAATCCGTTCTATGATTTTGCTGTCCTTTGATCAATATTTGTGCATTTGCAATTTCAAGAAAAAAATTGTGGTTCTATTATTGATGCATTTTCATCATAAACATGTGGATGAATGTGTGGATAAATGAGACTCCTAATTGAAATTCAGAGCTCATTCTATGCTAACAGTAGAGGCAAAAAGGAGCATATGCCATACAGTTCAAATGAACTTTGTGTCACCATAGTTCAGGTAAAAATGCACTGTGCCCCCATAGCATCCCAATTAATGCATACTGATCAGTGCATTACTGCAAAATGTAGGCAACTATCCAAATCCATTTATCTGTGGATTTAAGTGTTCCAAATTCACATTGTTTAAACAAAAAAAAAGTTACCAAATTATCTCTCAAACAATATGATTAGAGCATCTCCAGAGGAAGATGATCTTGGTGCAGCAAAGATATCAGGTTTGGTTTAGACAGTAATTTAAAGCAATACTGTAACATTTAGCCACTTCTGCCACTGCACCTCTAACTTCCATGCACAGTTGGCCTGGACAGTCACACTAATTGATGCCGTGTATACAGAATCATTAGGAAAGAACTGGATAGACCCTGATTTCCTTTTTTATAAAGCTTATAGTTGGAGTGGCTCAGGTTATCCAGCGCTTTCGCTATAGTTGTGCTGCTATGGGCTTAGACTGCGGGAGGACATAGGGACCCCTTTCATTCTGCTTCATTCTATCTCTATTCTCCCACTATGCAGAATTTCTTTGTTCAATCTCTAACGTTATGCTCTCTCTGCTTTTTCTCATAGTAGCTTCATGTGGCCTGTTCCTGTTTGGCTGTGACGCCGTCCTGAGGGGAAATATCAGCTGTGCTGCTCCCATCTACACTTTTGTTGATGTTTGAACCCTATTTTTCAGTGTAGTCCTGTCTCCCTGACTGTGACTGGCTGGATGTGCTCTCTTCGTCCTCTGACGTGGGTGTGGGCTCGGGGCTCGTCTGCCTCGCTGTGTGTTTCCTGGATGCAGCCGCCTGTGGAGCTGGTTGACAAGTTCCTTTGTATGTCTACTTCTTTCTGTGTCTGTCTCCTTGTAGAATAAAAAGCAGTATTGAACAATGATCTATTGTGGACAAATGTCACCTTATTTGCATCAAAACTACTAAACATGGCTGGGGACTTTCAGCTAAAGCTGATAAAACATTACTGCGATGCATTCATTTGTGTTTTTGAATACATTTTTTTTGAGAATCTAGAACATTGTTTTTTCTGCTAAAAAATACAAAAAGGGGCAAACAGGTCGTAGTGGAAAGCTCCCTAACTTGGAGATGAGACGGGTGTGTTTTGCATAAGAGACCACACCAAGAATGGCCAGTAGAGCAATAATAAGGATTTCAGAAAAAAAGCATTGCAGTTCCATGAAGGATTTAAGAGCAGGACCTTTCCATGTTAAACTGCTTTCACTCTTACTCCTACTCCTTATGCCACATTAATAAGAAAGTGATTAAATAAAATTATAAGGAAACTACCTAACTCTACCAATAGGAAACACTTATTAAATGATTGTTTGCAAAAAGAAAACAGGTCAAAAGCTTTTTATTTTATTTTTTTTCATTTAAACACAAACATCTTAAAGTACTTTTAGTAAAGTTGCATTTCAGTCATTTCAACGTGTAGATTTAAAAAATAAATGAAAAAGGAATCATACAGGACAGTTCAATAAGTTTGTATATACAGATCAACAAGTCCACCATAATGAAAATAAATACCTGATATATTTAATTCTCTTAACAGAATAAAATCTCCATAAATCCATCTCTTTCATATTCACATTTATTTTATTTTTTAGATTTAGATATACATAATGCAACTTATATGGATGTTTCAGGTTAACTAATAGAGTACCTGAACACTAGGCTATTTAGGATTAGATAGAGGGCTGGTGTAGCTGTATGAACAGCTCTTTTAGCATTCCGTGCACAGAACAGCAGGTTAGGTAAATAGAAGCAACAAGCAGAGCAACACTATCTTACGTCATCATGTACAGAAGGATGAAGCCAAATCAACATGCATATTAAGGATGCAGCTGTCTTTTATCTCCACATATTTTCTTGTGTTTTGTAAAATTTCTTTTAAGTGGTTGAAAGGACCTGTATAAACACGCAAAATTAAGAATTCGTACTTACATTCCAAAAATGTTTGCTCAATCTTTCCTTGTGTTGTAGTGGTCGTTATATATAAGACAAACACTGCGGTAGAAAGATGGCCATATCACTATTGAGAAAGGGTTATAGAATCATTAAATAGCCTTTCCATTGCAGAGAACCAGTTATTTTTGAGTTTATAGGGTACAGAATGCAGCTAAGTGTCAGAATAATGAGCAGCTGAAGACTGGAACATTAGAGAAAAGCAGCTGAAAATGGGCAGATAAGGTTTTTTCCCTTTTGCCTTTAAACATAAAGATGCTTTAGGTCTGTGTGGGGATGTCTGTTTGTGCATGTGGGTAGGTGGGATTGATGTGCCAGTGTGTTTCTCTCTGTGTGACCATGTAGGCAGTCGATGAAATATTCCTGCTTCACTCATTAGTTGTTAGTCATAATCCACCAGGAAGCTGAAATAAAAACACACAAGAAAACAGAAAGTTAGACCCATGGAACAAAACATATAGTTGAACTTGTGTGTTTATTACTTAGTAAAAACCTTTTAGATAATCAGTTTATCAATCATCTAGTTTAATTTTCACTAAGCAAAGATTTCTCAACTTGGACTCAAATTAACACATAAAGATAAATATAGATCAGAAGTAATTTACAAATTAAAAAGGTAAGCTGTACTGTAAACATATTTATAAAAATAAAATTTTATTTTATTTCTATAAAAATTCCTAAATGCTGTTGTTTTAGATATGCCTTCTAATTTTTGTGTTTTCTATGTATAGACCACTGCCAGATGTTAAAGAGAAACCTCCATCTCAGGAAATGTGATGAACAACAAAGTTATCTCATCTCATCTAAAAAAGTATACATGCGTATGTGAATGTATACTTTATGAAACACAACCAGCAAACTTGTGTTCTCAGGTTGCAATTAAAGCACACAGTTTAGCACACAGTTTTTCAGGTCCTAAGAAATGTACTGTTTTGTCTTTTAATTCTTCTACATAGTAGTGTTGACAGAGAGACAAGAGCAGTAATTGGACTAACTATTTTATTGAGAATATTTTATTATTGTTTGAAAGCTAAAATGTTTCCTTTAATTAGAAGAGGAGATGTTTAAATAGCCACTCCTTTCACAATAAAAGTGGCACTCTAAACAGAAAAATATTTTAAACTCACAAAGTCATCTAGAAACAAGAAGAGACATCAGAAGTTTGAATGCAGAGTAATTTGTTTTATTATAAAATGGGAAAAAAATGCCTACAAATTTTAGATTTTTCCACTCCTTAATGAAAATCAGACTTAACTTAAAAACAAGCTATGTTTAAAATAAATGTATATAAAAAAAACTGAAATATTGTAACTGCATAGGTGTACACAAACCTAAACAGTTTAAAGAGCCATTTGTTGAGCCAATTTCAACATTCAATTTCTTTGTAGAAAACTGGAAATTCCACATATTTACTTACCTACTCTGCCTACACTGCAAAACTATCTAAAAATCTCTTAAAATTAGTGTAATGATGGTTAATTTAAGTAGGTAATTAAGATGATCTGTCGATGGATTGAGCATTTTTATACTTAACATAAAATAATCTATCTATGGTGACAGGAAAATAGATAATATTGGGGTTTTTTCTTATTCTAGATGTAAATTGTCTTATTCCATTGGCAAAGAGTCTCGCTTCCCTGCTTAATTCAAGGAAAAAAAAAATCACTTAATTTGAGAAAAATTGTCCTACTTGGACTTTATTTTTTTGCAGTGTAGTCAAAGTCTCTCCCTATGGGAGGACATCTGTTGTCCACAGCCATTTTCAGAGGATCTTCCTCAGTTGCTGGGGTATTTAGTTCTGGACTTTGACATCCTAATTTTTATTCTCTCTCTAATGAAAATATTCTTTTGTTAAACTCAATTAAATCGATTCAGATCAACAAACTTACTGTGTTTCTTAAAAATGACATTCATTTTTTTGTAGCAGACACTTGACCCCTTGAGCCCGGCGGCCCGGGACCTCGCCCAGCTGATATTGATCTATTTATAGAAATGGCCAAAACACAGTCACATGGTGTTTCACCACACGCCTTTCAAACTGGGGTTTCAAATTTCTAAAAAATGTTTCAAAATATTTTTTTTCAAAAATACTTCTTGTTTTATAGCTGTGTAAATAATTAAAATGAAATTTAGAATTCCATCTGACATGGGACTATGGGGGAGTAACCAAACAGCAGGTACTGTATTAATTTTTAGCCCCACACCTTAATGGCCTGCATCATTGTTGCCTCCATAAAAAAACCTGATTAATCTGCAGAAAATGAATGACCCTGCAACCACCATATTTCTTCATGAATATAAAATTCTTTTAGTGATGGACAAAGTTGTTTTGTTGCCAAAATAATCTCATGGAACTCTGGCCTTGAGTTCACGTCTGGTTTGATTGGACATTGATATTGGTTTTGTCAGATTTTTACCTTGCCTGGATGTACTTAAGCAGAAAATAAGGCTTCCTTGCAACCATCCATTCTAGTCCAGATGCACTGAGAATATTGGAGATTTTGGACATTTAGGAAATTCCTGTAGCTTTTGGAACGTTTCAGTGAGACTCTTGGCAGCATCCATAACATTTTTAAACCCTTCTATTGGATTTGGAGGAGAAACATTTTTAACCTTACAGTACAAGAAAGCAAATGTGCCTTAGAAGAGAATTGCTTGAGATGTGCTTTGTTTACTTTTCTATTATAGACTCCAGAGTTCATATTGCTCTGCTTCTATGATGTAAATCTCATGCACCATCTTCCATCTTCCTTTAGCACAGGAATCATTGACAACCACATCACTATGATTTACAGCAAATTCATTAACAGAATGCTGCAATAATAAATTTTTAGAGCACAACAAAGCATGACATAAAGGAGAAAAAATTATTTCACTCCACCATGTTTTTTAGCAAATGTTTAAGAAAGATCTTTGTTATATTTTAATTATAATTTAATCAAAGGTCTTCTATTAAATCAAATAAAATTTCCTATTATAACCCTGAAGGAGAAAAAAAACATTCCTGTGTTATTGCTAACACTATTGAGTTTGTGTTCGATGCACTCATCATTCAAACATGGAGAAATCAAAGATATAGAGATAAACATCTATGTAAAGTAACCTAGCAACAGGCAAAACTTAAGCAGCCCACACAGCTAAATCATCATCCTCCAAATGAACACAGTCTCTTGGAATATTGGTACATGTAGTTCAGTCTCAACAACAAGTTAATGAAATGTCACGATGAGGGAGTCACGGCAGTGGCCTGGGCTCGAGCGGCTGTGAATCACGCTACTCTGAGAAGTCAATGATGTGTTAATGAGCAGGGTGTAGCTTGCATGCATCATGGGAAAGTCAGTTTGCCAAGTATTAATCCATCTTTCAATTTAAATATAAGTAATGTGCAATAAGGTTTGAATTTGCTTATGTATGTAATTATAATCTCTGTTAGGACACAAGGGTTATATTAAACCCAAATTAACAATAAATGTGATGATTACAAAATTAGAATAAAATATTCATAGACAGAAAAAAAAATACCCCCACTATTTAAAAATGAATGGTCTTTTTTACAGCATCAGGTTATTGCAAGTCATAAGGAAATCTTTACCTCTTGTAACAGTTGGCAGAGTTATACAAGAATAGAAAATATTGTGTTTTTAAAATATATCTTTAAATGATTAAAACCAGTAAACTAACACTTAATATTAAAAAATATTTAGCTGAGAATAGCTTGTTTATGCCCAATACACACTGCTTTCATTAATTTGGCTTGCATTTATCAACCTTAGATCTTTCACAGTTTGTCATTTAACCACCATGATCTTTAACTTATTGGTTAATTCAAAGAAGAAAATATTACACTTTTTCATCATTTTTGACAGACAACATTATTATTTCTTTTTGAATACTGTGAGTCTTTCTGTCTTGTTTAGTGATTAAATGTGTGGTTATTTTTGTTAAAAATTCCCCTCCCTCCCTAAGTCTTCTTGCTTCCCTGCTGAGTTTAAATTCAGGGCCCGCGTCCTCGGAAGGTCAGATTCGTCAGCCGATTACGTCATAGCTCTGCGCCGAGGCCTGTTGACAAATGCAGCCTTCTTTTTGCTAACTTTGAAGGACGGTCCGGTGTATCCTAAGTAGCCTTGGGTATCCCACGATTCATTGTGAGTCCAACCAAGCTGGCTGTTCCATTCTCAGAAGAAAAAGGGAAATGGTGCCGAACAGTGGTGAATATTGTAAGTGCAGTTAATATAATACAAGTATGTGAATAATTCTGTCTGAAATTAATGAAAATAGTTGCTAAATGGTTAGTGAGTCAGATATGTGGCGGGTAATATTTGGTTTATTGAAAGGTTGAGTACAACTTCCATATATCTGTAGTTAACTACAAATGTGGTACTCGTGATGACGGTACTGCTGCTGCAGCCCCTCAGAAATGTAATTAACATACAGAACAGTAATGAGAAGTTAGGTATCCATTCTTTGCCTGCATTTGAGTCAACTGTCATGGTTGCTATATGACAGAACGTACAGGCGGTGAAAATGCAGATAGACCAGGTCCTTGGAGGACGCAGCCTCTGAAATCAAACAAATCCCTCATGCTAAACCTGTTCCATATCGCCTCTGATTGGTTCCTTTGTCATTTTCCAGTCCTGCCTCATCATTTAGGTTTTTGGTTTTTCCTTGTAGGTTTTTGGATTATTCCATTACTCCTTCATTTTATTGCCTGATCCCCTCTCTCTGCTCCAGGTTTGATTTGCCTTGATCAAAGCCTGCACGATTTCTGTTTTATTATTATAGAACCCTCAATATGGTCATATTCAGTTCCTGTTTTGCTTTCTTCAAGTCACAACCCCCAAAATAGCTTTCTTTTTGTCAGTTATTCTTGTTTTTTAGTTGTATGTGGAATTTGGAAATTTCAACTGATTATGTTCCAAAAGTCAAATGTACGAATCTGAATGTTCTGGCACCAGGACCATACCCAACTTCCACATTCATGATGGCTGCTACTCCAATCAACCATAGTAAAACTTCTTACACTGACTGATTTTACAAATTCTCTTTTTATATATGGGATATTTAGTAAGTCAGTCAGTCAGTGCTAGATTTCACTGTTTATTAGACAACAGGTTTCGGAGATGCTATTTTTAAAAGAACCATGTACACTAAGGGTGTGCAAAATAATCGTCATGATGATGCATCACAATTCAAATTTTTGTGATCTACTGCATCGATTCCTGAAGACAAGAATCGATTATAAAAAAAAAATAAAAAAATTAACAAATAAAATACATGAATGGTTGGCGCACATCAGCCGAACCAATTGGAATACAACTTCCAGTCCAGCAGACGTCGCTGTGGATGTGTTGACGCCCGCTGCCTTGTGTCACAAGCATGTTCGGCCGCGGGATACTGAGACGAGTCATTCATAAACAAAATATGTAGGAGACTGAGAAAATTTGCCCCGCGGCTCCATCACATTTCAAGTCAGATGCTTGGATGCATTCTGGCTTTAAAAACAAAGAAGGTAAAAATGAAATTGATATGATGCACGTAATTTGCAAAAGGACCACTGAGGCCATGTAAACGGCACTGATTATCCTTATTTTGTTAGTTTAAGTTTGATGAATCCTAAGATCTTATTGTCAGTGTGTCCACGCCAGTAATAGTAATATTTCTGTCCTGTATTTGGCAACACCTCCAAAAGTCATTCAATAA